ATCTTTAATACACTACGTTGGTTTGTTCTGAGGCCACACCCAGCGGCGCTCTGAATATGCATGAGCTAAACTTACATGACCTGAAGGCCCAACAAATAACAGCCAACTCCAGTTTCAGTTTTTGACTCTATCACTCTCCTTTGCTGCTTTGTGAAGCTCCCTATAAGAGCCAGGCAGAGGTGAAGTCTCTGGGGCTCCAAGCCCATGAGTTTGGAAGATGCCCAAGGGGCATCTGTGATCAATGTTCCCTTAGAATATGTCCTGTGAGAGACTCTCCGGCCGTAACTGCAGGGAAGAATACGCAAAGACCTGCATAGGGATGTTTAAGTCCTTCACTGTTTAGAAAATCCTGCGTATCTTAAGAAAGTGGCATGGCATGTCCTGGAAGGAAAAAATAAAGAGGAGAGATGTGGGTCCCAGGGAGAATTTGAGGTTATGATACTTGTAGAGTGAGTAGGACAGCTGTGTTGTATGAGACTGACCTGGGTTTGATCCCCAAGTACTGCCAAGAGTGAGCTCTGCATGCAGAGCCAGGAGGAAGCCCTGAGCACTGTCAGGTGTGGCCCCCAAACAAACAAACAAACAAAAACAGAAAACATGCCACTTGCCTTGCATGCAGCCAACCCTGGTTTGATCCTGGCACTGCATATAGTTTCCTGAGCACTGCCAGGGGTCACTCCTGGGCAGAGAGCCTAGAATCGGCCCTGAGCACCATAGGGTGTGTCCTTATAAAATAAGGACATAAAGAAGCGGACCGTAAAAATAAAACAAAATAAAATAAAAAATAAAAGTTGACAGATACATAAAAGCAAGTGGTGAAAATTGCTATTTTATTTTATATTGATAAGCTTGCAATAAATCATGTAGACGATTTAAAAAATAACCTTATACCAATGATCGTGTTTTTACTGTCACTGTCACTGTCCTCCCGTTGTTCATCAATTTGCTCGAGCGAGCCCAGTAACATCTTCATTTTGAGACTTGTTGTTACTGTGTTTGGCATATTGAATACATCACGGGTAGCTTGCCAGACTCTGCCATGCGGGCGAGATACTCTCGGTAGCTTGCCGGGCTCTCTGAGAGGGGCAGAGGAATCAAACTCGGGTCAGCCATGTTGGCTGTGTGCAAGGCAAATACCCTACCCACTGTGCTATCGCTCAAGCCCAATCTTGTTTTTACTAGACATAAATCCCAAAGAATGTATGAGTCAAAAATAATCTGCTGGGCAGAAGTCAGGGTTGGCAATCTCTGTGGAGCTATCTTTTTTCAGGGAGATCATTGCCTAATTCTCTAATTTTCAAAAGACAGAACATTTCCCAACACAAGTCACTTTGACATCTGGAGTTTATGCTGAGATGAGTGGAGCGCCTGAAAGTTGAGGAAAACTTTTTATGTCTGTAAGTATTAGAAGATTGAAACCTGAAGGCATTCACAGAGGCAGGGTGGGATGGGGCGGATGGGCGGTGGGAAGGATATTGGGATCCGTGGTGGTGGAAAATGGGCACTGGTGGAGGGATGGGTATTTGATCATTGTATAATTGAAACCCAAGCACAAAAATTTGTAAGTCTGCAACTGTACCTCATGATGTCTCACTAATAATAATAAAAAAGAAATCTGGAGGCATTTACCAGATTTAATATTTTTCTTAAATTGTTTGAGTTAATTTCATTTCCACAGAAGTATTTGGAAATCTGTATAAGTGCCTATACTTTTCACGCAGCTTCTTCATATGCTAACATCTCATATAAAGGAATAATTCTTAAACCCTGATGAATTTCTGAGACCAGAGAGGTAATACAGGGGTTCCAGCTGCTTGCCTTGCTTGCAACTGACCTTTTAGTGGTTGCTGGCACTTTTCATGGTCCTCTGGGCACTGCCAGGGGTGAGCCCTGAGCACAGAGCCGGGAGGAAGCCCTGAGCACCACTGGGTGTGGCACAAAACCCGATAAAAACAAGAAGCAAACCAAAAAAGTGCTGAATTTCCAAATCAGATGCACAGAATTAGCATTTTTGTAAGAAATAAGTTTTACTTTAAAAATAATTATTTTTATTGACCCACTGGGAGATACATAGTTACAAAGCAACGTTCCAACACCCATCCTTCTACTAGTGTATATTTCCCACAATCAATGTCCCCCATTTTCCTCCCACCACGCCCCTACTACCATCTCTGTGACAGGTGCTTTCTCTCCCTCCCACCCCCCTCTCTCTCCTTCTCTCTCTCTCCTTTTGGACATTATGGTTTGCAATACAGGTACTAAGAGTGTATCAAGTTTGTTCCTTCACCTATTTTCAGCAGGCAGTTCTTATCCAGGGTGATCATTTCCAGCTATCATTGTCATAGTGGTCCCTTCTCTATCCCAACTGCCTTCTCTTCCAGTACCCAAGGCAGGCTTCCAACCATGGGCCAATTCTCCTACATATTATTTCTAGTTTTTCTGTTATTTCTACATACTATTTCTAGTATTTCTCATACTATAAATCAACTTATTCTAAGAGGATTCTATCTGTAGGATAACATTGGTTTGTCTTTTCTTCCTTGCCACAGGGAACTTGGGTTTATTGGGTTACACCCATCACAGTGCTCCCGAGGCACTCCTATTCCTCTGTGTTTATCTGTAACCTCTTTCTTTGTGCTCTGCTTCCCCAAATGGTCAATCACCTATATCTCCTAATCAGACTCTGTTTACTTGTAAATATTGCTTTTTTCTTCTCCTTATGTCTTTTGCATGGTTAATTCAGAGCAATGTACTTTTAGTATGGACACAGGAAGACAGCTAATACTATGCTTTTGTAACTTGGAAAGTTAATTGAATAATATTCACTCCTGGGCATCTGTTCTCTTGACTTAAACTTCAGTTGCCCTTAGTTCCTAGCACCCCACAAGCAGAGTCCCGATGAGGGACTGGGTGGACCCAGGGCAAGCAGTGAGCTACCCTGGCATCAAAATGGGCCAGGCCAAAGTACTATAATATTAACTATAAATTAAGAGCATGGTCATGGATAAATTCTGTCACAGTCCAGAAAGTAACAACTGGATTAGGACCCTGCTAAGGATAGGAAAGACTAATCTAGCCTAAGCACTGTAGCCTGCGATCTATAGTGAGAAGCCTCCAGGAGAGCGATCCTATAAGCTTAATGTATCTCTTTCTGTGTCCATACAAAATGACTAATATTAAGAAGTAGAATTAAGGGGCTGGAGCAATAGCACAAAGGATAGGGCATTTGCCTTGCACGCGGTCAACCCAGGTTCGATTCCCAGCATCCCATATGGTCCCCGGAGCACCGCCAGGGGTGATTCCTGAGTGCAGAGCCAGGAGTAACCCCTGTGCATCACCGGGTGTGACCCAAAAACAAAAACAAGAAGTAGAATTAAGATGAATGTTTAAATGCCTATTGGACTAATGAAAGGAGAAACGCACCCTAGGTGTTATTTCACCCTTAAGCGGATCTTCTTGGCTGCAGGTGATCAGGAAGCGATTTGGTATGTTGACTGTGCTATCCTACTTGGGTGTGATTGCTCTACCAAGGTGAGAGACTAGAGAGACCAGGATGGTGAGTTGGAGCACAAAGAGACTAGCAAGAGGGACAGGAGGAGACGGGAATGAGGGGCTGCGTGAGACTAGAATGGGGAACTTAGTGAGACCAGAACAGGCACATGGGGAGAATGGAATAAATGGCAACTGATCACCAACCAGTCTGGCCCCTGTTTCTTCCTTCATCCACCCTTGGCATTGGCCATCCCAGGTGAAGAAGTGGCCCGAGACCACAGAACGCAGGTGGCGAGAGAGCCGCGAGCCTCTAATTCATTTTATGAATACACACCTATCTGTAAGCAGAGCATCTGGCCCTCATCACATGAGTCATCCTGACTTCATCTTGCAAATCTCCTCCCCCCTGGAAGCCCCTGGACCATCTCACTCCTTAGCTCAGAATATAAACTTCCAATTTAAGCCAGTTAGAGTCTCCTGGTACATGGGATGACAGTTTTCTTTTGTTCTACTTTGTTGTGAAATTTCTTACTTGACCAGATTGGATAAAAAAAACTGAGAGGGAGAGGCAACGGAAAACCCAGATTTGATTCCCAGCATCCCATATGGTCCCCTGAGCACCGCCAGGGGTGATTCCTGAGTACAGAGCCAGGAGTAACCCCTGTGCATCGCCGGGTGTGACCCAAAAACAAAAACAAGAATTATAATTAAGATGAATGTTTAAATGAAGCAACAGAAAACTCAAAATAATGGTGGCTACTCAAAAAACAGAAAACTCAAAATAATGGTGACATGAGGAAGAGATATGTTTCTCAGACTTATGACCTGACTTTGGCAGTCCAAATGCCTTGGAAGTTCCCAGATGTTCTCATCCACTTGCACTGTTAGCTAGAGATGACTGCGGGAATTTCTGCCTTCCCAACTACACTCCACCAGCAAGAGGTAGAAATAGAGGAGAGTCTTCCTTCAAGGGTCTTGCTAGAAATGGGATGCTTCCAGTGGCATTCCATTGGTGAAACTAAGTAGAATGTCCACTTCCTGGTGGCAAAGGAAGTTGTGATCTTTATTTGGCAGTCATGTGCCTGATTATAAGTTCGGTAAGTAGAGCCTGATTATAAGTTTGGTAAGTAGAAGTTCATTCTACCATGAAGAATAATGGAGATGATGGACAATGTCCAGAAATCTCTGGCACCTGTTCTAACTGTATAGCCCTTATCTTAGTCACGCAGCCTTTGGGAGCTCATGGACCTACCGTAATGTATGAAAGTCCTGAGATCTTCGAACTTGATTTAGATCCTTACTATTTTTTTTTCAGGTTTTAAAACTTTATTTGCATATTAAAAATTGTGCATTCCAATATAATTAAACCATTCAAAATCAAAATCAATCAATTAAACCATTAAACAACAAAAAATGGCACTCAGGTTCAACTTTTTTTTTTTTTTACAGCTTGCAGTATACTTAAAACCAACCAGGTGTACGCCATTAAGTCCCGCTCAACTTATTCCATCCCCCAATATACATGCAAGTTTGTTCCCTTCCAACCAAACAGATGGGGGAGGCAAGGCGCCTCATTGTCAGTAGTTCTCAAATCTTAAAATGTGAAATGGGGCAGCACAGTCATTTCACTTTTAAACTTTATCCGACCTCGTTGCATCTTAACCAAGTTAAACAGCTAAAAGTAAAATAAGAAGGCAATGCTCGTGGGATGTACAGTGCATTTCGGCGGCGTCCGCTCTTTACGATTCGCCAGCTGGTTTCTCCTGTTCAATTTCTTCTTTAGAAGGCAGCGGGTTCTTTTGCGTTTCAGGCTTCTTCAACTTCGACCTATAGAATTTCTCAGTCTCGGCCATATCGGGTTTGTCAGACATGGTTGCAGAAAAGCTGAGCAGGCACGACGATGAGAGCGAAGAAGGAGCCGAGAAGCGACCACCAGCGAATCTAGATCCTTACTATTTCTTTTTCTTTCTTTCTTTCTTTCTTTCTTTCTTTCTGTCTTTTATTTTTTTTTTTTTGCTTTTTGAGTCATACTTGGTGATGCACAGGGGTTACTCCTGGCTCATGCAGTCAGGAATTACTCCTGGTGCTGCTCAGGGGACAATATGGGATGATGGAAATCGAACCCGGGTCAGCCATGTGCAAGGCAAATACCCTACCCGATGTGCTATTGCTCCAGCCCCAGATCCTTACTATTTCTTAAACTCCAGTTGATGTCCCACTCAGAGGACAGAGATACAGATACATGAAATTATTTAGGAGCAGAGAAAAGAGTCCTCTGGAGAATTTGAATCTATATGGCATTTTCTCTCAGCAACAGGAAGCAGAGTGAGAGGATGTGGCTCACTGGTAGAGCACTGGCCTTGCAAATATGCGGCCCTGCTTTTATCCCCAGCAACACACACACACACACACACACACACACACACACACACGCACACACACTAACACACACACATGCAGTCAGTAAGCACTCTGTTTAGGATCTCTGACCACCTAGAGCAAGGAAGGCACTGTGTTTTCCATGGAAACCAACATGAAGGGGGGAAAAAAACCACTCAGCATAATCACTGCACATTAATTTTTTTTCTGATTACAGCCATACATTCATCTCAAATGACAAAACCTACATTACTCCTACTATTTTCTACACACATGTGCTCTAAAATGCTCACTCGTTATCCCACTCTTTCTTCATTAACGGTGCCAAGTAATGTCTTTGCTTTCAGCTTAGCTAGTTTTTCCAAGTGCTTCTGTGATGTCGTTAGGACCTGGTGCGGCAGCTTTATTTCTTTTCCTCTTTCTGTCCTTCATCATTTATTAATGACAAGGACCGTGTGATGAAGAGTTGTCAACATTATCATTTTTCTATATTTACTGTATAATAACTGCGTTGAAGTGGATTTGTCACCTAATAGCCTTCAATGATCCCTCGTTTTCTGGGGTGGCATATTCCCCCATTATTTACTGTGCCTCCCAATAACTTATCATCCACGGCCGTCTACTCGCCTCTTTGTCCTTAATTTCCCGAGACAGATTTCCACTTAAGAGACAGAGCGACTATTAGAGAGAGAGTTTCCACAAACCACAAGGTCTTCTGCAAAGAAACGCCATCACCCACTCAGGGTTAAAGGAAGAAAGCAGCCTTGCCTCGTCCCTGAGCCAGCCCCTGCCTGTCAAAAAGGAAAGGTCTTAGAGCACTTGGGCAGAGAGTGAATATACATGCATGGCGCTGCCTATAGCCATACTCAAGGAACTAAGTGTCTAAATCCCTGTCCGGGGTAATGAGACACAATCATACTCCTGGTCTAATGGACAGCACGGCCTTCTCGATTTGAGCCGGAATCTTCAAAACTGTTCAATATTGGCCTGTGAATTGTTCCAGGGAGAGCCCAAATCCGAGAAGAAAGCAGTACTCCATGCATAGTGCTTTTAAGCAACATTTAGAGACTCTGAGAAGGAGATAATTTATACAGGAAATGAGCTAGCTGCAGTGTTTTTGAATTTGGCCTGTGTTCCATTGTAGTATTCCATCGTCATCAGTAAGGCCACTCTATCTTTATCTTCACTATCTTTAGGATACAGGAAATTAAGTCAGCATTTCCTTACTTTCTGAAGCTAACAATGCCCATTGGTACAAGAACTCTCTGATCAAAATGGCTCTTTGAAAAGATGTTTGTTCTAACATGACATGACTTCTTTATTTTACTTAAATATGTTTTTGTTTGAGGGCCAGAGAGATAGTATAGTGGATAGGGAGCTTGTCTTGCATGTGACTAAGTTTGAATCCCATATAGTCCCCTGTGTTCTACCAGAAGAGATCCCTGAGGGCCGTAGCCAAGAGTAAACACTGAGCACTGGTGTGTGTGGTTGAAAATAATAATAATGATAATGATAATGATAATAATAATAATAAATAATAGTGTTGTTGTTGTTGTTATTAGTTGTTGGGGACCACATCTGTCCAGAGTCTGAGATTAAACTCAAGGTCTCATACAGGCAAGATGTGTGCTCTGTAGGTTGAGTCAATCCCTGGCTCACAAAGAGTATATTCATAAAGATCTTTTCATTTGATTTACAATTACTTCAAATGATGAACAGAAATTCAAATTATTTACTGAACTCAAAAGAAATAAAATTATATCATTGTGCCATACATCGTCCCACACATTACTACTTGTGAAAAATAAATTACATGGGCTGATTATGGCATCAAACACTGCCATCTAAATTATGTTTTGAGACCAGGGAGATGGCACGCAGGTGAGGCACTTGCCTTGCACACGGTCCCCCAGCGCCTCCAGGAGTGACCCTTAAGTCACTCGGAGCCAGGAGTAAGCCCTAAGCACCACCACATATGGCCCCCAAACTAAAGTGAATAATGCTTTATCACTGCTACATTTTTTTGTGCTTATTTTGGGGGTGAGGTGGGCCACACCTGGTAGTGTCCAGGGGTTATCCTGGCTCTGCAGTTAGGGACCACTGCTGGCGGTGTTCAGGGGATCATATGAGATATTAAGGATCGAACCCGGGCTGGCCATGTGCAAACAAGGATCCTACTCATTGTAGTACACTCCAGCCCTGTCTGCTTATTTTTTAAATTTCTTTGTGTTTGTGTGGGGGCCAGACATACTCCTCAGTGTGTAGTGCAAATCATAAGCGCAGCTCTTTGAGCTTTCTGACCACATTGTTTTTTTTTTTTTTAAATTTTTATTAGTGAGATACCATGAGCTGACCACCTTGTTTTTGTTTGTTTTTAACCTGTCTGATGGTGTTCTATATTTCTGGTCCCATTACAAGGCCTTAGGAAGATTGGAGAAATTGTTGACGGAGACTGTGGGAGTCAGTTTGGTTAGACGAAGGAGAAGGTGTCAGGGAAACAATGATGGCCTAGAGCTGGAAGAGAGTTCAAAGGGTAGGGGAGCCTCAGGTGGAATCGAGACACCTCCAAGTCTCCAGCCTCAGCAGCAGACCGAGCACTGCTGGTTGTACCGAGCACTGCTGGTTGTACCGTCACTCCCACACCCATTTAAAACAAACAAACAAACAAACAATTACAGTATTGGCAGACAACCTAAAACATAAGAAAGCAGCTAGCTGTTTGGTTTTAAATTTAAAAATTAATAGAGATCTAGTTAACATTTCCAACTTGTTTTTAATTTATCACCTGCTTGAGGATAATGAGATATTTCTCGGGTTCAGAGACTCGCTTGCCCGGTTTATGCTTTATCAAACCATACTGTCCTCCCAGGGGGTTGGGATGCTCTGTCCACATGACTCAGTTGTGCACATATACCCCAACACATGGCTGGGATGTGTCAACACTGAACACTCAGGGTGTAAACTACCAGAAAAGTAGTTTATGCCCTTGGCAGTGCAACAGGAAATAAATAAACCCGAAGATGGAGGGCAATTCTGACTCTTCACTTAATGTAACAACAAGATAAACACCACCCAAATATCACCAAAGCAATTCCACTCTCACTACCCATATTCAAGCTCCACTCCTTGTTAGGGACACAACTCCCCCTCTTCCCTTCCCCTCTTTCTCCCCTCCGTCCCTCCGTCCCTCCGTCCCTCCGTCCCTCCCTCCCTCCCTTATCCCTCACTCTTCTCCTCCCTTCTTTCCTTCCTTTTTTCTCCAACAAGATAGTCACAGAGAATCTCTTTTATATGCTCCTTGGCCAAACTAAGGCTGAGTAAATGGAACTGCCCAACTTTTCTATTTGTCAGATGACTCGAATAAATGAACAAGTCAATGAGTGATTTAAAGCCTGCATTTTGGGGTTTATTCGTGGCTCTGGGCATAGGGATCACTCCTGCATAGGGCCCTGAGGACCATGTGTGGAGCTGGGGATGGAACAGGGCTTGGGGGAGTACAAGGCAAGTGGCTTAGCCCCTGTATTCTTTCTCTGGCACTCACAGCCATGTTTCGTAATCTCTCAGAGGAATGTGATGATTCTGAGTTGGTTTACCAGAGCTGAAGTCAATGAAAAGGAGGATACTGGCTGGATAAAGAGAACAGGTCTATTAATATGAGTCCTTTGGAACTGGTAAAGAAGTCACTGGCTCAAGATTTCAGCTACTGAAAGGAGGATCAGCTTTAGAACAGACTTTTCTGAGTCCCAGTCTGAAGAAGCTTCCACCCCACACGTAGCTTGTGATGTTTGTTCAGCCATGGTCCTTGGACCAATGTTGGTTGGCAGAAATTTCTGGCTGATCCATGAAAAAATTATCTTAGATAACTACAGGATTCAGCTGATCATGAGTTAAGTGGCAATAATGTCTTCATGGGACAGCAGGAAAGCTCTGCAGAATGACTGTAGTGGTTGAAAACCACTGTTTGAGATTCTTATGGAACTTCATGATGGGTACTGAGCAGATAAAACCCGACCTTGCAAAGTGGCCCAGAAACAATGCCTCGTAAGAGGGAGTATCTGGGCAAAGTTGGCCAGAACAGCACGGGGTATCAGGCCTTGAGCCTCCTCAACCTCCTAGTCACATGCGCCAAAGACACAGAAACTGTCACGTATGCTTACCAGGTCATCCTAACCTCAGCAACTAGCCTTGACTGGGATTGGACTGGGGCAAAACAGAGTAGGAGAGCAGATAGGTTAATAATGCTAACATTTATGTGATTGGACCTTTTCTTTGGTGGGGGGGGGGGGCATCACACGCAGCGATGCACAGGGGTTACTCCTGGTTCTGTGCTCAGGAATTACTCCTGGTGATGCTCAGGGGACCATATGGGATGCTGGGAATTGAACTCAGGTTGGCCATGTGCAAGGCAAACGCCCTACCCGCTGTGCTATCGCTCCAGCCCCGTGATTCGACCTTCTTGTAAGCCAAGACTCCCTATAAAATATGTATGTATTTGGCAATAAGGTGAACCTGGAAGGTGTTTGCCCGTGTGCCCGTCATCCTTCACCCCATGTCTGCCTGAACCCGGTGCGCAACCTGTCTGGGCACGTTGGGGGAAGACCGGTGCTCAACCTGTCCGGGCATGTTGGGGGAAGACAGTTCTCCAACAGACCCTAACATCTCAAATTATGGCTGTGATTCATAGACGGTCTGAGAACTGACTATGGGTGGCTAAAAACATTTAGCAACAGTCAAAAGTTTCTGAACAGGCAGAAACCAAATGAATTCAAGTATAGCTGCATTGGGAATCCAATTCTTTTATAGTTCTTGGGCAAAAGGGAGTTGTGGGCAGAAAGAAATTTAAGAAGCTCTGATCTAGATGATCTTTCCTCTGTTTAGACTATGAGATTGGTTAAAGAATCAAAAACCGAAACTATATCTCCACACTAAGATAAAATAAACCCCACATCCCCTATTTTACAATTTACTCTCTGAATTACAACTATTCAAGTCAATAAACATTTATCAGATATGTATTGCATCTTCTGGTGCTGTGTTAAGTGTAGCAAATGACTGTGTGATGGGAAAAAAAAAACCCTAAACCCCCAAAACCCACAATCCTTATTCTTGGAAAGCTTCCAGTCTGGTTATAGAAAACTAGGAATACAAATAACTTGTTAGTGACTGTGACCAACAGGGAAATACACACAATGGAAAGGTAATTTCTGGCTCAAAAGAGCAGGAAAAGCTTTCCTAAGATTTGTTGTGGGTCAAGAGATAAGGGAGGCAATATCACAGTGGTTGTGGGTGTTGGCTATGTACCTCATGGTTCCTACCCAGGATGACCCGGGCTTGCAGATGAAGCCACTGAGCTGACAATCACAGCAGGAGGATTCTGTGTTTTGGTCCATGTCCAGCTGTGTTCGGGGCTTACTCCTGGCCCTGAGCTCTGAGATCATTCCTTGTGGGAACCAAGGGATCATCTAGGATGTCAGGGATTGGGCCCAGGTCCTTCAGCACTCAGGGAACTGTGATCCTTGAGCACAGAGCCAGGAGTATGCCCTGAGCACCACCAGATGTGACCCCCCAAACAAACAACAAAAAGCAACCCCCCCCCAAAAAAGAAAAGAAACAAGAAACAAATGCTGTTATCTGCAAACTCTATACCCTTGCCTGTCTCATAGCCAAGAGCAGGTATTCATTACACCTCACAAGCTTGGTTTCTCTTTCCAGGATAAATTGTTAGATTTTTTTAGGAGTCTTCCTAGAAAGTTAATTTTTAATCTGGAGTCTCACTTGTCCTTATCTAGCCAGATACATCAACAGCAGTCACTCAGCACCCTTTAACTTACAACCCCGTGGCACAATGCATCTGTGGGCATGTTTTAATTTTTTTTTTTTTCCTGCACAGCACACCATGTCATCGAGCTAAAGCTTAATTCGGTGGAGGGAATCGCAGGATTCCCTCTGAGTCCTGGCTCAGCCTTTGACCACGTTCAGATTTAAAGAGTGGCACTGTCACCTAACAATTCCTAAGTCCCTCCGGGACCTTCATGCGTGACCAGATGCGCAGGCAAGGGGTGGGGTTCAGTGGCCCGGGCAGGGCACTGGGTTCCACCCGCTGCAGCAACCCCCGCAAGAAAGCAGTCCTGGGGTTCAAAGCACCGTTTTGTGAGCACAGGGTTGAGGGGGCAGAGGCTACAGGTGGGGAGCCGGTCGCAGGATCGCAGGATTCTGCAGGATCATCTGCAGGATCCGGGAAAACATAAAGAGACAGCTCGACCTGGCAAAGCAGAGCCCCCTCTCTCGGGGCCCAGATCCTCATCACTCTTACTTGGGGGTGTCTCTTGACTCCTTGAATCCCCTTCCTAGAGTTACCCTGCAGCTTGGGTGGGTCCAAACCCCAGCCACGAGCTCTGCCTCCCCATCACCCCCAACCCCATTTCGCTCATCAGCAGCTCCAGGGAGGGAACCTGAACCCACTCCGACCCCCGAAGGAAGATCTGATGCCCACCTCCCGGAAGGAAGGGACCCCGTGCACTCCTTGCCCACTCCGGGGATCCAGTGGAGGCGCCGGGGAGTCCCTGGCCGCGCGCCCACCCATGGGCGTGGACCTGTAGAGTCCCTCCTGCCCTTCCGGGGTGCACAGGCGCGGGGCGCCGGCGAACTCGCCCTGGGGGCTCAATGCATCCCGCGTCCAGGACTGAAATCTCCGGGAGCAGATGCCCGGCGCCGGCAGCCGAGCGCTCCTAAGCCGCGGCCGCACCCCCGAAGCCCGCGAGCCGCCTCCCCCCGCACCCCGCCCCGCACTCACGTCAACGCCGGCGTCGGGGAAGCGCCGTAATGGCGCGAAGAAGTGCGCCCACCTAAACCTGCTCCCCGCTGCCGCCGCCGCCGCCGTCGCGGCGCAAAGGAACACCCCCTGCCCCGAGCTCACGCCAGTTCTCGCACGCTCGTGGCGAAGCAAAACGCGGCCCTCTCCGGGGGATGTGCTCCAGCAGGGGGTGGGGGGCGGCTACGAGGAAAGAGGTGTGCGTATGCGATGGAGTTTTCAAGGCTCGGGCGCCCCTCTTGGCCCCCTAAAATCCCCTTCCATAAAGTCATGGATTATGGAAGTGTGCGTATATGGGGTGGTGGTGGTCTGTCGTCCCTGCACGGCGGACCAGCCCCCGCCTCTTCCCAGTTGCCTGGCTCGGACCAGCTTCGCGCGGGTGTCCGCTTCCGAGCTGTCGGCTGCGTGCGCGCGTGTTAGGAGGAGCGCGGTAGTGATGGCGGCGCTCAGCGCGACTTCCCTGTCACTGGCTACTACGGCTCCCAGCCCTCCTCCGAGCCGCCCGAGCCGAGCCCCGGCGGTCTAGTTGATCCGAGTGGCGATTCGACTCGCTCTGCTGCATGTCCGGGGGGACCGTGCCCAGTGCGGAGCCGCGCCGGGGACCCAGCGACCGCAGCTCGAGACGCCCAGGAGGAGCCCGAGCAGCCAGCCCGACCCGGCCGCCCTAGCCGACATGCGGCTGCTGGAGAGGGCGAGGAAAGAGTGGTTCATGGTCGGGATCGTGCTGGCCATCGCCGGCGCCAAGCTGGAGCCGGCCGTGGGGGTGACCGGAGGTAGGTGCGCGCCGGCTCCTGCACGCTCCGCAACTCATTTCCCGGTCCTGGGGGGTCCCCGGGGGGTGGGGTGGGGGGAACGGGGCGGATGAGAAAGTGGTTGCTTCTCTCTGCCGAGGGGGATGCCTTCCTTGCTTTTTGCTTTTTTTTTTTTTTGCGGGGGGGGGGGCGGGGAATAAAATAGAAAAAGAGCCCAGTGCAGGTTATTATTTGTCATCAGGATGTGGGGCCAACGCGTTTGAACGCGGGCTGCTCCCGGGGGTGGGGTGGGGGTGCCAACCAACCGCGAGCGACGAGTTGAGTCCGCGCCTAGGATGGAGCGAGGCTGCAGGGGATGCAACTTAACTGGGCTCGCTCGGAAGTGACCTCGCATCCCCGGGGATGCTCCCCGGAGCGCCCGGTCTGTCTCGGAGACAGACAGACAGACAGACAGACAGACAGACACACACACACACACACACACACACACACACACACACACGGTTCTCTGGTCCCTTTTCTCACCGCGCCCCTCCCCCAGCTTTCCGGGGGTAAGGGGCGGGCAAAGGGGGTAGGGGGCAAGCAAAGGAAGCAGGCACACCCTCCTCCCGCACCAGCTGGGACTCGCGGACCCACGTGTTGGGTAGACGGAAGCTGGAGGCTTGGCGGCTGGGGCAAGCCCCTTGCAAGCCGACTGACACGTTGCACTGTCAGCTGCTGGGACTAACTACACTTCCGCGTGCTGCCCGGGGGCTGGCTGATTGATTGACAGATGCGCGCAGGGGTGGCTCCCGGGACGTGCTGCTTGGGGTGGGGACAGGTGGGTGCGCACAGAGCATGCTCAGACCCTCCCGCCCCCTCCCCTTCCCCCAGGTACTAGGAGCCGGGAGGCATCCCGTGCAAAGGACTGGAGATGTCCTGAGTGGTTTGTGCATCCCGCTCGCGCCCACACCCCTGCCCCCACTTTCCACCCTTAGACACTCCGGCTCCACTTTCCCCATAAACATCGGGTTTCCTTCAGTGGATGGTCTTTGTGGCCTTGTCTGGCAGTTTTCAGGCTGATCCACAGGTTTCAACAGGTTTTATACAGCTCACATGCAACAAGTGCAGATAAGGACAGGAGCAAGCAGCGTCTTTTTCTAGTAGGAAGAATTGGAAACTGTTTTACGTTTTTGATAAAAAGAAAACATGGTGGTAATAAAAAAACAAAGGATCTCTCTGGAGTTCAAATGATTCCTTTGACCCTCTGCCACCAATGCGTCCCTTTAGAGAACATTTCAAATGACTTGATTTGAGCTAAGATTGTGGACATGAAAACTTTTTTGCTTTATTTTTCCTCTTCGGTATTCAACTAAGTCGTACATGTTAGACTAATCTAAGGGTAAAAAAACAAAACAACAACAACTGATTTGTCCTTCTTCCTCCTTCTGAAGATGTCCGTTTCTTCTCTGGGAAGCGTGGGAATGCTGATATTTCCAAACTGTCTAGTGATAATCCTGACCTTGCAGCGCTCTAGCTGAATGTGAAGAATTCAGATTTAAGGCTGGAGAGATAGTACAGTGGGGAAGGCTCTGGCCTTTCATGTAGCTCACCCGATTTAGATCCTTGACACCCCATTTGGTCCTCTGAGTATTGCCAGAAATCATCCCTGAGCACAGAGCCAGGAGTAAGCCCTGAGTGCAGCTTGGATTGGCTCAAAAACTACCAAAAAAAAAAAAAGAATCAAGTTAGTGGGCTGGAAAGAGAGTATGTGTAGGAGGTAAGATGTTTGCCTTGGTTCCAGTTGCTGAAACTACACATGATCCCTGAGTATTGCCCAGGGATCACTCCTGAGCACTGAGCCAGTAGTAACCCTTGAGAACCTCTGGGTGTGGGTGTGATGGAAACCTTTTCCAACTCTGTATCCTCAAACTTCCTCCACCCCCCAACCCCCAACACTAGTGTCAGTTATGATCTAGAACATACAACTTACTAGTAACTAGCAAGTTACTAGTTACTAGTAACTGTTTGTCTGGTGTTAAGGTGAAGTTATAGTTAGTGTATGAAGTTTAAGACTGCAGGAAGTAACTTTGGTAAAAGACTTTTGATCATGCTCTTTGGGATAACGGGCTGTTGAGTGTTGCTTCCTTTCTTTAAGATTTCCCAGTCATGACGTGTGTGAGGTGGATTCTTGTTCTGGCTTACTCCGCCAGCACAAGAAGTTTTGGTGTATTGTTTTGAAGTTTTGGTGTATTGTTGTATCTTATAAATATTATTCCTCTATGTTCTCTAGTACTGAGGCCACTAACTAGGAAAATTCATTTCTCCGCTCAATTTGAAGAGCAGAACATTAATAGTTGAAGGAACATTTATAAAGTATTGGTGGGGGGGCCACACTAGAAGTGCTAGTTGCAGAGGCTATTTCTAGCTTTGTGCTGGGGGAGGGGCCCCTTGGGCTGTGCTCAGGAAACGGCAGTGCTCTGGGGATCAAACTTGGGCCGACTCTGTACGAAGCATGTACTCAGCCCCTGGAACTATCTCCTAGGCCCTTGAAAGTGTTTAAGTCAGCCCAGAGAGAGAAAACAGGAGGTCAGGCACTGCCCCTACATGCAGCTGATTCCTGTCAATCCCCAGCACCACGTGTGGTCCCCACCTTCCACGCTCAGCACTGTCAGGGGTCATCCTTGAACTCAGAGCCAGGAATTACCCCTGAGCATCTCTTGATGTGGCCACAAACAAACAAAAGAATTTTAGTCAACAGGCTGCTTTCTAGATGACATTTTACATAGGAAACGTTTTGTTTGTCTTTGGCTAGTGAAAAGACTCACATTCCCTCTCCCTGTCGGCATCTTACTAAGGACTCTCCAAGTTTGCCTCCATCCCTAAGTGTTACACCAATCATCTCGCTGTCCTTGGTAAGAGATTCGGAGCTAGTTGGTGAGTGATGTACAAAGGAAGATGTGGAGTGAAAGGCATTGAGTGGCTTCTAAGAAGTATAACACATATTAGCCTGAATCATTTCATTCTTGGTTCCGTTGTTTTTACTTAAAATATGTATAAGAAGGCTGAAAATAGAGAGCCATGGCAGATGGAAAGTGTGGATTTGGAGGTGCAGAGACTGTACTATTGGCCTTGAACTGTGTGTACCTTAGTTTCTCTTGGTTTAACAGGGTTTGTTCCTGTTGAGTTCATTCCTGGCAAGAGAGAGGTTTACCTGGGATGCGCACGGTCAGTTCTTCATTCTATCTGCACTTGAACTCGAGTCATTTCATTAATAACATGTGAACTCTAAAAAGGAAACACTTCCCTTTCTTCCTTAAAAATAAAAACAAACAACGTAACCAGAAACATGCTATCAGCTTTGTTCTATCAACATCACCCTCTAGATGAGCTTTGGAAATGAAATCAATTTTGGTGATGTGTCGGCTTCGTGAAATGATAGATTAGTTCCTTGCATTCTTAAACATTCCAAAGTAGTTTTTTTCCCCCCTCATTAAAAAAATACACAGTTTGAGGAGCCTCACATTACTTAGTTTTTATAGCCAGTTTAAAAAGTTGTTATTACTCTACCTTATTCTGTTTTCATTGAGAAACATTATTTGCTCCTGTTGAAAAGTAAAATTTACATTTCCACTTTATAGTCCACTTCATAGATTGGAGTTTTATAGTCCGATCTGTTTATTTTAGTAACACGGAAGATGCAATCATTACCTTCGAGAAGGACCAAATACCACATTTATATCATAGTTTCCAGTCTCACCATTGTGCAAATATTTATAGCAGTCTATGCTTCTGTGTGCTGCACATATCTTCCCTCTGAGTGTGTCTGCGCATGTGTGTGTGCGTGTGTGTATGTGTGTATGTTGATGTGTATGTGTGTGTGTGCTTGTGTGTATGTGTGCATGTGTGTGCGCATTGGTGTGTGTGTGTGCGTTGGTGTGTATGTGTGTGTGTTTGTGTGTGTGTGCGTGTATGAGACGGAGATGATGCCTGTCTCCCACTTAGCAGGAGAATATCGGTGGGATCAGGGCCGTTCTGCATCTGATGAGAGCCCTGGCTGAGTCTTCCTGGAATTATCTCTGCAGTCACCTGATTTCCCAAAACTGGTCCTGGCCACCGCTTGTGGGCTTGTGGGTGGGCCTGGATTTGGGGGAGGTGGATTCTATTTATTTCAATTCTACACAAGAGGACCCAGGAGAATGGCAAGTCTGAGATGATCTCTGTTTTTTTCTTATTTCGGGGCTGGGGGCTCACAAGGAGTGCTCTGGAAGCCCTCCTGTGCTTCTCAGTCACCTGGGCTGGAGGTTGAGTGCAAGGGCCCTGCAGTGCCAGCAGTTGACCTGGGCCATCCTGGTGGTGCTGGGGTGGGGGTGGGGGGTCCTCCAGGGCTGTACCTGGTGATGGGGGAACCATGTGGCTTTGGGAGTTGTACCCTAAGTGCTCAGCTGTCGCCCCCCAGCTCCTGATTTCTGGTCTGAAACTGGTGTGCACCCTGGCTCCAGCTCAAGGATCACCACTGGCAGTGCTCAGGGCACCACACGGAAAGTGGGGGATTGAACCTGGGTTAGCCAAGGCAAGAGCCCTGCCCGCTGTATGATCTCTCTGGCCCCTGCACTACAAGTTTCAGTGATAGATGTTCTCTGGGCCTGGGGAATTGTACAGCACCTGGTTTATGTGCTTTCCTTACATGCGCCAGTTCTAGTTCAATCCCTGGCATTAGCATATAATCCCCGAGCATCGCCAGAAATGATCCCTGAGCATAAAGCCAGGAGTAAGCGCTGAGCATTGCCAGGTGTGGGCCCTGGAAATGGGAAAAAAAAATGTCTTTTGGTTAGTACATTTGATCTTCAGGTGAGCTGTGGACAAGTCCCACTCACTGAAAACTATATGTTGGAGTTACCACGGTTCAACCCCCTCTGGGACTATGGTACATATGTACTCAGAGAGGACTTTCCGCAGGACGGAGATCAGGCTTGACTGGCTCAGACCCTGGCACAGTTTTCCAACTCCCATCTTAACAAAATGTCCATTGCTCTGTTATCTTATACCTGCATGCCCACAGTTGCGTGTAGGGAAATGGTCAGCTCTTCTGTAGAACTGAATCAATGCATGGTGTAGGACTCTGTGTCTGGGATTGCCACAGGAATGAAGTGACCTTTGCTCCGACGGGACTGGTCCTCCATCGCATCTCTTGTTTATTGTGGGTGGGGGGTGAGGGGGATGGGGAGCGCTGGTGGTTGGATCGGGCGGGTAGATCCAACCACCTGGGTGTGCCAGAGGTCTTGTTAGAGGGACAACTGCCTGTTTCCTTTGTGACAGCAGACTTCGTTTTTTCTCCTTCTGGACAGGGGAAACCAGGCTTGGTATTTGCCTTTTGGGAAGTTCTCTCTGCAATTAAGTTTCCTCCCCAGAATTTCAGCTCTGTCAGGCCAGTGGTGTGCTCTGGGCATCACGAAGATTTAAGTCTCTATTCATTCTCCTTCAGTGGCTGCTGCTTTCAGACCAAACTACCTGCTGGCAGTCCTTATCCGACACTAATTCATTTCTCTCTTCCCAGGTCCACTGAAGCCAGAAATCACTGTCTCCTACATTGCCGTCGCAACAATATTCTTTAACAGTGGACTCTCGTTAAAAACGGAGGTACTGGAACCCGTGGCACATTTGACAAGCAGGGAGAAACGTTTCATTTGTGCTGGCTATTGTTGAGGGGAGGGTTCAGACCACACCTGGCTGTGCTCAGGGATCATTCCTGGAATACTTGGGGGACCCTATGCATGTGACATCCCTTATAATCCCCTAAGTATCAGCAGCTTAGAGGCAGGTGTAAAGCCTAAGTACCCCCTGCTATGGCCACATCCCTCCCGCACCAAGGAATAGGTCACGCTAAAAGTTATTGTAGCATTGTAGCACTGTCTTCCCATTGTTTATCGATTTGCTCGAGCAGGCACCAGTAAGGTCTCCATTGTGAGACTTGTTGTTACTGTTTTTGGCATATCGAATATACCACAGGGAGCTTGCCAGACTCTGTGGTGTGGGCGGGATTCTCTAGAGGGACAGAGGAATTGAACCCGGGTCGGCCATGTGCAAGGCCTACCCGCTAGGTTGCCTAAGGAGGGGTGAACCGGCCCAGGTTGGAAATGGAGCAGGTCAAAACTCCCGTGGTAAAAGTTATTAAAAAGATTTATTTTTTTTTAATTCGTTAAACATGTGCTTGTTTATAGTAGCAACAATTCTCAAATATGCCAGTGGCAGCACACTGAATTAGCCCTGGTGAAGAGTTTACCGATGTTGGGGGGCTGGAGTGATAGCTCAGCGTGTGGGGCGTTTGCCTTGCATGAGGCTGACCCGGGTTCGATCCCCAGCATCCCATATGGTCCCCTGAGCACTGCCAGGAGTAATTCCTGAGTGCAGAGCCAGGAGTAACCCCTGAGCATCGCCGGGTGTGACCCAAAAAGCAAAAAAAAAAAAAATGGGTTTACTTATGTGAGTGGCTGGGGTGAGCTGTATGATGGGAGTGTTTCGGATGTGAAGCTTTTTCTTACTTTAGTTTTCTTGTGTCTTTCTATTTTTTGTCTTTGCAGGAGCTGACCAGTGCATTGGTGCATATAAAACTGCACCTGTTCATTCAGATCTTTACGCTGGTGTTCTTCCCGACGGCAATCTGGTTTTTCCTTCAGCTCTTATCAGTCACACCCATCAATGAATGGCTTCTCAAGGGGTATGTGGGAACCCTGGGAAGGGGGCACTTATCAGATGGCAGGGCTAGTGACACTGTGGGTGTGGTGAGATCTCGTAAGGAAATGACCTTTAGCCCTTTAGATGGGGTGGAGGGGGCACACCTGGAAGCACTCAGAGCTTGCTCCGGGCTCTGTTTAGGGATCCCTCGTCACCTTTCTGGGGGACCACAGTTGGTTCTAGGGATTGAGCTGGGATCAATGTGCAAGACAAGCACCTAAACCTTTGCACATATTTCCAGTCCCCTAGCAATAGTTTTGGTTTTTTTTTTTTTCATTTTGGGTCACACCCAGCATTGCACAGGGGGTACTCCTGGATCATGCACTCAGGAATTACTCCTGGCGGTGTTCGGAGGACCATATGGGATGCTGGGAATTGAACCTGGGTCGGCCGCATGCAAGGCAAATGCCCTACCCGCTGTGCTATCGCTCCAGCCCCAGTAATAGGTTTTTGAGATGTGTTTCTTCCATCACAAGTATTACTATGCTTATTAGGAAGATTTATCTTACACTGTCCTCCCATTGTTCATTGATTTGCTCGAGTGGGCCCAGTAACGTTTCCATTGTGAGACTTGTTGTTACTGTGTTTGGCATATCGAATACGTCACAGGGAGCTTGCCAGGCTTGGCCATGTGAGCAAGATACTCTTGGTAGCTTGCCAGGCTCTCCGAGAGGGGTGGAGGAATCGAACCCGGATTACCTGGGTCAGCCTGGTGCAAGGCAAACGCCCTACCTGTTGTGCTATCATTCCAGCCCTTATCTTACATATATACATATATATAGTAATACTTGTGATGGAAGATATATATCATTGGTTTTCAGTCACAGGGAGGGTACTCTTGGCTTTTTGCTCATAGTCGTCCAGGCCTCCAGTGTGCAAAACAAGACTTCAGCCCCCCTAAGCTAGCTCTCCAATCCAGGATTGAATGATTTAAAAAAAATATATATTTAAAGTACTTTATAACTCACATGCTTTATCCTTGTGGCATAATTGCTGAAACACTAAACCCAAAGCCAAAAATCACTTTCTGACTTTTCCCTATTTAAAGTGACCATGATGAAAGTCATTTTGTGGTTTTAAACCTCAGTTTCCCTGTTCATACAATGAGGATAATCTGCTTTTGCTGTCTGCTTAATTACGATGTTGAAAATATCCATTGAGATCCCTTTTTTATTTATTCAAGTCATGTGTTTGGCTCCTACCATGCATCAGAACTGCTGTAGATATTAGAGAAAGAACTGTAAATAAAGCTGGCAAGATGTTTTATCAAATATCCAACCAGGGTTCAAACTATTAGGCCTCATCTGGGACCACGTATATCGGACATGCCCAGGGAAGAATTCAAGTGCAAGTCTGGACTAAAGCATAGAGTTTGTTCACCTACGGATAGTAGAGATAAGGGCCAGGAGAATCGCTTCATGGCTCTGAAGATGATCTCATGTGCTGGGGGAAAAGGCAGGTGGGGTGGTGAAGAGACCACAAAGTGAATGATGGCTGGAGGGATCGCTTGAGATGGTAGATGCATGCTGAAAGTAGATAAAGGACCAAGTAGATAAAGGACATGATGACTGCTTAGTGCCTTTATAGCAAAACATAACACCAAAAGGAGAGAGAGTAAGAAGGAATGTGCCTGCCATAGAAATGGGGTGGGATGGGGTGGGGGTTGTGGGAGGGACACTGGGAAAATTGGTGGTGGAGAACGGGCACTGGTGGAGGGATGGGTACCTGAACATTGTTTGATTGAAACATAATCACAAAAATCGGTAAGTCTGTAACTATCTCACAGTGATTCATTAAAATAAAAAAAAAATAATAAAATTGGTACTTAGAATATTATACTAGATTTTTTTTTTTGCTTTTTTTTGGGGGTCACACACGGCAATGCTCAAGGGTTACTCCTGGCTCTGCACTCAGGAATTACTCCTGGTGGTGCTCGGGGGACCATGTGGGATGCTGGGAATCGAACCTGGGTCGGCCACGTGCAAGGCAAACATCCTGCCTGCTGTGCTGTCGCTCCAACCCCATACTCAACTTTTTTTTTTTTAAAGTGAAAAAGCACTTGTCTTGGTAAATAAGATAAATAAAATAGCTGAAGTACTAAAGGAAAAAAAGAGTTTGTTAGAGAACAATGCACATTAAAGAATCATAGTGCAGGCATTAAGTGAGCAGCTTCTCCGAAGCGCCATCACCAGAGAGTGGGTCGACTCTAGAGAACACTACAGATTTTACATAGGTTTCAAGCTCACATAGGTATAAATGTGGGGTAAATTAATAAAGGGTGGAATATTCATGGTATTTCAGAGAAGAGGAAGGGTTTGGGGAGGTGATTTCACTGAATCAGGTGTCCCCGGATCCATATTTAATCACTTCTTGGGCAATTGTAAACTGTTGTGGCGTGGGCAGATGTGATTTTTTTTTAAACTATGCAAATATATTTTAATGAGTGTCTAATGAGGCTGGAAGTCATCCAGGGGTCAGTTAGTCTTCCATTTTGGATTTTCTTGGCTCCATTGAGTGTTGAATCTCATTGGTCTCACCTTATGAGGTGCCCTGTATGTGTAACTCATTAACTCTTATAGATTAAGATGTTTTCAATTTCATAGCTTTAGGGCAAAGCAGAACATTGTAGTTGTGAAGTTTTATAGTGTCTTGTCAGGGGAATGGTTTTCTGTGAGAGGCCAAGTGTTCTGATTCCTTCCCTGTCCAGGTCAGTCGGCCATGTTTATTCCGGCCACTTCCCACTGTCCCCAAGTGTGAGGTTTGCACTCTGAGAAGATGTGAAATGTGCTTGTCAATAAATTACTTAGTTGATGGTCAAGATAGAGATGAGTGATGCGGAGTAAGATGTAGCACTAAAGTGAGTCAGAAAGAGAGGGACAGACATTGAAGGACTGCACTCATCTGTGGAATGTAAAATAACATCACATGAGACTGATACCCAAGGACAGTAGACACAAGGGCCAGGAAGATTGCTCCATGGTTGGAAGCCTGCCTTATGAGCTGGGGGAGAAGGCAGCTGGAATAGAGAAGGGATCACTAAGTCAATGATGGTTGAAGGGATCACTCAGGATGGGAGATGTGTGCTGAAAGTAGATAAAGTACCAAACGATGGCCTCTCAGTATCTGTATTGCAAACCATAATGCCCAAAAGTAGAGAGAGAGTATGGGGAAATTGTCTGCCATGGAGGCAGGGGGAGGGTTGGAAAAGGGGGGTATACTGGGGACATTGGTGGTGGGGAATGTGCACTGGTGTAGGGATGGGTGTTTGATCATTGTATGATTGAAACTCAAACATGAAAGCTTGTAACTATATCTCGTGGTGATTCGGTTAAAAAAAAAAAAAGCCATGGCCCTATTGAAAGTGGTCATGGACATCCTCAGGATCTAGATCATGTTAGATTTTAGAGTCCTGGGGGCAGATCGTTCTTGAAAAAGGAAATGAAGCATGCTGAAACTGGACAGCATGAGCAAGCCCAGGTGCTCTGGAGTCAGGAAATCGCCCTTGCAGGCCAGAATCTGATGGGGGGCAGGCAGATCACCTGACCTGGAGTTGGAAAGGCCGGAATTGGGTCACGTAGAACCATGTAACTGTGTACAAAAGGCTAGGGTACAACATTAAAATTTTTCCGAGCGTTACAAAATTCCACTCATTTTTGGGGGAATTTTGGGGAAGGATTTTAAGTGAGAAGGGGTGTTGTCTGTTGTACATTTCCGAAGGATTCTTCCAGCTCCTATGAGGAGGGTTGTCAGAGAAAGTTGACCAGTCTGGAGGTAAATGTACTTTGCTCACCCGGGCGGAGAGGGAAGCAGAGGGATGGGTACTTCATTTTTAAATCGGAACTCCCAGAGCAGAAAGATTTTCAGGCTGTGCAGTGAATAGGACAGAGAGGAATCAGGGTGATTTTTAGATCACTGGGAAACTTTGGACTTTGTTTAAGAGCTTCATTTTGCCAAAACACTTCCTGTCCCCCCCCCCCCCCCCCACAAAAAAAAAACCTCAAGGAAAGATAGGTGAAAACATGCTAAGTTGGAAAGGCAGGAACTGGGTCATGTGGAACTTTCCAACTCCTTTTCTTCGCTTGTAATAATTACACTCTTCATTTAACCGACAGTTTTCAAGTTTCATGAGAGTTTAACTAGCTTAAAAAAGGGAAATGACCCAAATCAGAGGGTTGAATGATCGCTGAGAACTCATAGCCAGATCACCCCATGTAAACTCAACAGCACGTGTGTCTCGAGAAACACTCTTCACTTAGCTCTGCTTGTCCAGAATGAATTTACTGACAGCTAAATGAAATTAAAAAAAAAAAACACTTCACTGAACTTGTTTTTTTTTTCTTCCAACTTTCCAGTTTGCAGACAGTGGGCTGCATGCCTCCCCCCGTGTCTTCTGCAGTGATCTTAACCAAGGCAGTTGGTGGAAACGAGGTGAGTGCTGGAGCCCCTGATTAAGCATCAGCAATGCTGAGCTTTGGTTTACATTTATCTGGTTTATTTTGGGATGAAGAGCTGTGTCCATCAGAGGAGCAGTGGAAGGAAGAAGCGGGTTTATTCCTGTATAAGATAATACTAAAGGGATGAGTGGAATTTAGGATTTCACAGAAGATCAGGGAGACAAACGAAATGGAGAAGGTGATTCCCTCTCCTCAGTGGACAAGGAGTCTAAGAGAAGTGACCTTGTTCAAGGGTTCCAAAGGAGGCTAGAGAGATGGTACAGCGGGTAGGGTGCTTGCTGGCACACAGCCGACCTGGGTTAGTTCCCTGGCACCACATATGGTCCTCTGAGCCCCACCAAGAATGTTCCCTGTGCAGTCAGGAGTAAACCCTGAGCATTGCTGGGTGTAACGCAAAAGGCCAAAGCCAAGCCAAGGCAAAACATAAAAGCCAGTCACAAAAGAGAAACAGCTTGCTAGGACTAGTCCTTAGTTCTCCAAGGAGTGGTGCCAAGATAAATTCATGTGAAAAGGTCAATAGCAGCGTAATGATAAGTGAAGGTGGTGTCAGAGGAGAAGCGAGACCTGACTTCGGAGTGAGCTCACAGATGATCCAGTTTCCTAGGGACTGTGGCTGAGGGGTGCCTTGGTGTCGGAAACGCAGCTACTCCCTCAGGAACTGCATGAGTGGTGACAGCTCTCCTTGGTTGAGTGGCCCCTCAGCTTTATACCCAGTAAGTTGGACCATATGCAGAGTACAGTACTACTGAATGAGGGATGGTAGAAGTAGTTCCTCTTCAACTCTTTAGATTGTTTTCTTCCTTATCCCTTTATTCCAGAAATATTTATGGGATTTTATTGTTTCTTAGGGATTAATTTTTCATTTTTTTTGGCTTTTTGGGCCACATCTGGCGATGCTCAGAGGTCACTCCTGGCTTTGCACTCAGGAATTGCTTCTGACAGTGCTCAGGGGACCATATAGTGAGTTGCAGTGATATCTGTGCGCATTTGTGAGACCAGCAGAAGGTGGGGTCCCTCTGATGTCTCCTGGTGCCCCGGAGCCACCCCCTCCTGTCTTTCTGGACATCCTTCTTCCCTAGGCAGCCTGGGGCATGCTCGCCCTCACTCTAGGTTACTTTGCATTTCCTGAGTTCTACTTAAGGAATTCAGACAGTACACGCGTTTTCCCTTTAAGTCCTCTTTGACTTGGCAAAGTTCTTTAGAAGATCCAGCTATGTTATGTGTATCAATAATTCAGTCCTGCAATATCTATTGAAAACAAACCTTGGGCTAAGCCGAATGGAGGTTACCATCCTTTTGTTCGTCGATTGCCTCGAGCAGGCCCCAGTAACATCTCCTTCGTCCTAGCCCTGAGATTTTGTAAAAACTGCCATATTAAAAGCTCTTCCAGGATTAGGAGAATGAGACCCATCATGGTTACTGGTATTTGGCATATTGGGTACGCCACGGGGAGTTTGCCAGACTCTGCCGTGTGGGCAGGTTACATTCGGTAGCCTGCCATTTTGTCAAAAGTAAGAATGCGGCAATAAGTTGTCGCGCGATAATGGAGGTTACCAGGTGGGGGTTAAAGGGAGGAGAGGGGCTAGGGAGGGATGGGTGGAAGAGAAGGGACTTAGGGACAGAGTTGGTGGATTTGGGGCACCTCAGTATTGGGTATGAGGAATAATTTTGTGCGTGTGAAGCATGAACATGAGTACTGCCTTAGACCGTGTTACTACAGTGGTAATAAAATAAGGTAATATTAGACTAAAAAATAAAAGTAACCCTGGCCTATTTACAACTATGATTCACTTTCACGTAATTTCCTGCAAAGGAGGTGACAGTTTAAGGAAATAAAACCAGAATTCCCGTTTTCCAAAAAATAATAATTTCAATCCTTTATGATTGCTGGAAACTACTGTTTTCTAATATGGTATGGATTCATGGCATGGATATAACACAATATACATTGTTTATCCATTCCCCTGTTAATGGATATTCAGCAGTTTCCAGTTTCAGGCTCTGGGTATGTGGGTACAGACCTAGGTGGACATGTATCTTCTTTTTTTGGGACAATATAGGAGTGAAGTGGCTGTGTCACTTGTCAAGTGGCTGTTTCAGTGACTTTTGACCATGAGGGAAAACACTAGTAAAGAGTTATATATCATCTATTAATAACTTCATTTTAGGGGGGCTGGTTTGGGCCATACATAGAGGTCTCAGGGTCTATTCCTGGCTCTGCTCAGGAAGTGACCCTTGGTGGTGCTTCAGGGACACAATGTGGTACTGTGAATGGATCCTGGTTCAGCCTTATGCAAGGCAAACTCCTCACCTTCTGTATTATCTCTCTGGTCCTGTAAATAGTTTCTGAATTCAGCATTCACACACACACACACACACACACACACACACACACATACACATGCACATGCACACACACATACACGTGCACACACACATGTACACACACATACACACATATGCATACACACATACTTTTTTCTTACTGAATCACTGCCTTTGTCTTTTGTTTTCATTTTTGGGGGTCACATCCAGCAGTGCTTAGACTTACTCCTGGTTCTGCACTCAGAAACCATTCCTGGTGCTCAGGGAATCAGGCGGGGTGCTGAGGATCGAACCCAGGTTGGCTGCATGCAAGGCGAGTGCCTTAACTCATGTACTATATCTCCAGCCCTGCCTGTGTCTAAGAAATTACTAAAGTCTTTCAAATGGCCACAGGCTTTTCCATTTACGCCACCAGCGGAGGAGAGTTCTAGCACTCTATCCCCATTTGGTATATTAGCCTTTTGCACTTGATCCATTCTCTAGGCCTGGTACTGGTGTCTCATTATGGTTTTCACCTGCATTTAGTGCTTCACCATCTGAGTGAAGTGCAGTGTCATTTGCACTTCCTAGTGACTGATAGTGGCTGAACATTATCGTCTTCTCATTTCCTTTTTTACAGCCCATCTTCTTTAGTTTTTAGATCTTATTTGTTTTGTTTTGTTTTGTTTTTGTGGAGGGGGTCCTAGTGATGTTAGCCCTTGGGCTTGACCATGCAGTCTGCTCAGACCAGAGGAACTGTGGGTCCCAGGGTTAGGAAATCTTTGGCTTCCAAGTCTCCTTGTTCTTGCTGTGTTGTTATCTTTTTGGCAAGTTCGAGAGTTTTCTATATTCTTGAGCCAAGTTCTTCATCAGCTCCATGCCTTGAAATATTTTCTTCTGGTTGTCATTGTATTTTCATGTTATGGAAGGGTGGGGTAAAGTCACACAGGGGCAGGCTTCTGGATGTATTGGGAAGGCACAGGAGGTACCAAACGATCGGAAAAGGGGCATGAGAGAGAAAAGGGCAAGTAGTGAGTACTCAGTTTTTTTTTTTTTATTTGCTTGAGTGAACTGGTTTGAACTGGGATCGATCCCATAACCCAATTCTATCTGAGTCTCATCCCTTTCTTTTCCTACCTGGCTGTCTGAGCTTTGGCAAAGCTACTGAAAGGTCATGCGTGCAGAGGTGAAGAGCCCCAGGCGAAGGTGTGTTGGGGACCTTAGTCTAGGGACTTTAGTCTTGCCTTCAGAACTCAGAACTCCAAACTCGGAGTGAGGAGATTTGGAGGCTTATCTCTTGCTCCCGGGCAGGTCAGTGGGGTTTTGCTGTCACTAAGGAAGCTGCTTGAGCAGCCTCTGTGTCTGGAAGGTCACGGTCCAGATAGCACAGAGCACATTTTGTTGCCAGGACACGGGCAGAAAGAGATCAGAGAATCACAATTGGGTTTCTCATTGTCCAGATTGGACCCGACAACAGGCACCTCAGATCATGTTCCAGTGGCCAGAGCAAGTCATAAATTGACCTGGTGGTGTGCTGACTTGTGTGTGCCATGAAGGAGAGAGCTCAAGGGTGGTGAACACTTAGAGCGTCAGCCTTACAGGTAAAGAGCCAGAGCTCGGTTGTTTGCTGTGGCAGGATGACTACTGCCTATCTCAGTGGCCACTGGACCACAGAGATCGAACAGTTGGGTTCAAAGGAGAGCTCTAAAGGCGAGATATCATTGAGGACTTCATGGGTGTAAGTGTTGAGTAATGGATTTTTCCTCAGTGTTGGTTGTATCCACCTTGAACAACGTTGTTCAGGGTGGGTCTGGTTTGCTTTTCCCTCATTTTGCATAAACTTACAGTTTTGATGAATCTGTTCATGATGTTTAGGGCGGGTGGACTAACTGTAAATAGTAGTTAAAGCCCAGGTTGGATGCAGTTACTTAGGCAGAGAGCACTGGGAGAGCCAGGAGGTTTGAACCTTGGAACTCTCTGACACGGAGAGATTAGGATGATGAGGAGGGGAGAGGGATGAAGGGAACGGGACAGGGAAGAGAGCACTATAAGAGTGATGGAGAGAAATAATCAACCAGGAAGTGGGGGGTGGCGCTGACAGGTGTGGTCAAGTGTACTGCATGAAACTCCCTCAGTAACAGTACTTATATAGTCACTCCCGCTTGCCAAATTAAAAAAAAAAAAATGTTCCTGTCACTGAGGCAGGCTGTGGATGGGAGGGAAACTGGGGACATTGGTAGAGGGAAGTGGACACTGGTGAAGGGACTGGGTTTGGAACATCATATGCCTTTGTAATTCACATTGACTGAAGAAATTAATAATAAAAGAGAAACTGAAAAATCATTTCTCTAAGTTTGGAAAACGTTATTTAGCTTTTGGGGTGTTGGTGTTTAGCAAGAAAGGTAGAGTTAGGGAGCTGTACTGCCTTGATACATTTCAATCTTTGGTCTCTCTCTTTTGTTTTGGGGCTGCACTGGGTGGTACTCAGGGCTAACTCCTGACTCTGAGCTTAGGGACCATTTCCGGCGGGACTCAGAAGACTCTTTTGTGGTGCCGGGGATGGATTGGACCCTGGTCAAGCAGTGCTAGTGCCCTGTTCCCTCTTCGGTCTCAATATCTGATCTGTTGCAAGCTGAGAGAAAGGGAAGGATTCAATAAATGCCATTGCCT